ATCGCCACGAATACTAATGATACTAAAGATGACGCATGGAAAGGTAACGAAGAATAGGGAAATAAGTAGAATCCCCGCCGAGATCCGATTAGCCTGAACAAACTTCCAAAGGCATACGCATAACATCTCGCTTTCTGGTGCGTTGAACATACCTGTGTGAACCTGCACTCCTCTCCTACTGTGTGTACCTGAAGGGTTCGCGATTTCCGCTGAGAGCATCTCAACTTTATCATGAAAAGCGATGTCAGTGCAAATGCGGTGAGGCTCAGCACCTGAATATGCACCTAAATAAAGAGAGAAAAATATTTCGAAGTGGGCAACAGTCGAATGACGACTTCTCCTCACCAAACCGTTCATGCTAAAATAGTATGAGTAGCTACGGTCCAAAAAGCATCCCACTGCAGCGCAGTTTGGTTTCCTCTCGAAAGCCAAAAGACTGAATTCCATACAAAGATCGAGTGCTGCCCAAAGGAGGGCGGTCATCAGCGAAACGACGACATATGTGGAGCAAGCTACTTTACGGTAGTAAGCCGGCAGAAAGAGGGCCTGAAATGACGTCAAGCACACTCACTTGCTGGGCTGTAAGCTCATTTCTTACCAAAATACGCTCGACAGCAGCAGATATAGTTAGAATCAGATGAACTTTTAAATAAATTACAGTAGAAGCTCCTAGAATAACAACATAATATGGATCTAGATCAATATATGTTGGACTCCAGTGTGTTATTAGATAGATTGTATACGGAATACCTGGAAAATAGTCTTCGTTTCGAGAAGAGCCTTCGCGCGGCGGACAAACTTCGCTATCACTATAAAACCTACTGAGAAGAGCATGAAGAAGATCCGCGAGCGCTAGGATAACGAGAAGACGAAGCCAAGAATATTTCCTCCCTTTTCTTGCTCTATATGATGGAAATATTCATGCAATCGAAGGTGTACTTTCCGCTGCAGAAGCTGTCACTATTTGACATACCTGTTTAGTGCGAAAAGAAGCGAAGCACTGCACTGAATAGTCGTAAATTGAAGTGCTAGGACAACAAAGTCCTGTATCAGAAAACTTATATTCCGCCTCATCCTAAGCTGCCGCCAAGAGTGCAGCAGTCTAGATATATTTCATAACAATCACATTTCACTATTGGCTTTCTGACGAAACAGAACAAGAGCTCTGTAAACAACTCGCGAATTCTGTGAGGCAATCAAGCACTTCTAAACCTAAGAAGTCCATTTATAATAGCATGTCAAAGCTTGTTGGCCCAGTTGCTCGCCATCAAGTAAATGACTGCATCCGCCACTACGCCTTTTCAACAACCGTACTGTTTCCTTGTGATTAGGTCTTTTGGCTGTCGTATCAAGAAATGCGCACCAATATTGCATGATCTTGTGTTAATCCGAAACTTCAGAGAGAGTGCTCTTATTCTGCTGATTGTAATTCAAAATTCTGCAGCGATATCAACGTCAGTTCACCTAAGCCAGAAGAAGGTATCTGGTGAACCTGGTTCTTGATAGACACGGATAAATCATTAATGACCACTTTACACTTGAATCACTAATTGGATAAACCTTTTGAGGAAAGGATTATTAGGTTTCTTTAATGTTGCTAAATTACAATAGAAATCATCGTAATAGTTACATAGTTCTGCCGCAGACCTCCCCTTCAACAGGATGAGTTTTTGAAATCTGAGCTATCAGCTCGATCCTAGGGAAAGAAAATGAGTTGAGACGTATGGTGCACCATCACTGGACCCTGCAGTACACATGAACCTCGCTAATTTCACGTGGGACACGGAATGCAACGCACGATTTCCAAGCAAAACAAGCAACGTGACATTTTCACAGTGAAGTCGCCGTCGTATGGTTTGCAGAATGCAATTATTCGAAGACTTCTGAAAGAAGTCCTTGATTCTATGAAGTGATATTGCAGTGAGATGCCCATTTATAGAATGTTT